CGGCCCCGGCCCCGGCGACGCCCACCGGCCGCCCCATCGCCCACCGCAGCGAAGACCGTTCTCCCCCAACCCCCGCTTCTCACTTCATGGCGGCTTGCCCCGGCGTCCACTCGCCCGCTTCATGAATATTCAACAAGGGGGCGTGATCTTAGAGCACCACCTTCCTCACGATCCTATTGGCTGAGCCTGCCCGTCACTCCGCCAATCAGAAGATTGGCGCGTGCGCATGGAGGCGAGAGGGCGGGCCCCGGGAAGAGGTGGTGCCCGAGGCATCGCCGAGGATCGCCGACGACGGGGAACAGAAGGTAGAAGAGAGCCGAGAGATCGTTCCAGCTCCTTGACGTTAGCTCTTCCAGATTCTGTCCTGGTTGTCGAAATAGTAAACAGAGTTTAAGGGAGAATAACAGAGAAACAGGAGACTTTTCGGATCCTTCAGTTACAGTGGTTTAGTTGTACCAGACAAGCACGGATTTTATAAATCCGTGTCCTGACTTAACGCAAGAAATCTAAAAACAGCCTCTCCCATTGAGCCCCTACTCTAGCCAGACTCTAACATTCATTAAGGGACCGGGGTGGGGGGGAACCACTCAGCTGTTAAGAGCACTTTCTGATCTCGGAGAGGACTCCCAAGCACCCCATATCAGGCAACTTACAATCGCCAGTCAACCCTAGCTCCAGGGGATCCCCACACCTCTGGCTCCTGAGGAGAGGATACCTGCATTTAGGCGCACATCCGCTCTCTGGAGGCAGAGACAGAAAAATCATCCTTGGCTAGTGAGTTCAAGGCTAGCCTAAACTGTATTGTTTCAAAAAGAAAAATCCAAAAACCAACCAACCACCAACAATAAATAAATACATAATAAGAAAGCACCTTACCAACTAAGCTATCTCCCTCGGTGCCTCCTTTTAATCACCGTTTTATTGTTTATTTATTTTGTTTTTTCAAGACAGGGTTTCTCTGTAGCCCTGGCTGTCCTGATACTCGTTCTGTAGACCCAGCTGACCTCGAACTCAGAGATCCATTAGCTTCTGCCTCCCAAGTCTGGGATTAAAGGTGTGCACCACCGCCACCCAGCACGTTTTATATCTTTATTGTGTGGGTATGTCTGTGAGGGAAAGCATGTGAAGGCGAACGTGTGGAGGGAAGAGGAAGCCTGCAGAAGTCAGTTCAGCACTTTCCTTCTCCCATGTGGGGGACTTGAACTCAGGTCAAAAGGCAAGAGCCATCTCCAGAGCCCCCACCTCCACCCCATCCCATGTCCCACCCTCTTTTGAGACAGCCTCAGTATGTAACCAAGGCTGGCCTGGAGCCCACTGTGTAGCCAAGGCTAGCCTGTCTTGTGACTCACCAACATTAGACTCCTGAGGAATGGGATGACAGGTGGACAACGCCATGTGCTATTTCTCCGCCCTGGAAAGCTGCTTCACTTGATATCCACACCAAGTCGTTCAGACCCATTGGTTCTTTTTAATTATTTTATTTTATATGTGTGAGTGTTTGCCTGCATGCACTTATGTGTATCAGGTGTATACCTGGTGTCCTCAGAGGTCAGAAGAAGGAATCAGATCCCCTGGTACTGGATCTATGGATGGCTATGAGCCACTATGTGGGTGCTGGAAACCAAACCCAGGTCCTCTGCAAGAGCAACAGTGCTCTCAACCACTGAGCAATCTCTCCAGCCACTTTCTTTCCTTTTAAATTATATTCTATTTCTTTATGAGCTACATGGGCATGTGCTGAAGTTTCTTTCCTTCCACCGTGCAGATCCTGGTACGTGAACTCAGAGCTTTGAAAGTGGTAAGTGCATTGACCCGCTGAGCCATCTCGTCAGTTTGCAGTTGTCCTTTTTTGCTTTTTTGTTTGTTTTAGAGACAGGGTTTCTCCCTGAAGCTTTGGAGCCTGTCCTGGAACTTGCCCTGTAGACCAGGCTGGCTTCAAACTCACAGATAATCCACTGCCTCTGCCTCCCAAGTGCTGGGATTAAAGGCATGCGCCACCACCGCCCAAGTCCCCAAATGAAACACATCCTTTGCATACACACTGGTGGCAGTCAATGAAGAAACTTGTCTCTTGGTTTGAGATTTTACAGTTCTTGATCATGGCTGAAACCACCTTGTGGGACAGTCAAGCCCAGCCAGACTCTTAACGGGTCAGCGATGGGCAGTTCCTCACCATGTCCAGCCACTTAGTTACACATGCGTCTGGCTCTCTCAGCTTAAACCTCTCGTTAGGACCCTGAGGATGGACTTGGAGGAAGATGACACCAGACCTTTTCACTTTTTTAATATTTATTTATTTATTATGTACACATCATTCCTTCCATGTATGCCTGCAGGCCAGAAAATAGCACAAGACCTCATTACAGATGGTTGTGAGCCACCATATGGTTGCTGGGAATTGAACTCAGGACCTTTGGAAGAACAGGCAATGCTCTTACCCTCTGAGTCATCTCTCCAGCCCCCTTTTCATTTTTCTTTATTTCCCTTCTAAACATCTTGACTCACTGGGCCCTTCTCATTTGTTCCACTTCCCAGTGTGGTCAGAAGATCAAAATGCTTTTCTTTGCTGAGAAATTAATGAACTCAATAGAAGTTGGTCATGGTGGGGCAAGATATGTCACCCTGAGCTCCTCCGGGGTCTGAGGCATGGGGATTACAGGTTTAAAGGTAGCCTAGATGACACAATAGATAAAATCCTGTCTCAAAGTCTTTAAAAAAAAAAAACTGGGCATGAGCAGGGAGGCGGTCCATACCTTTAACCCCAGCACACAGGAGACAGAGGCAGGTGGATCTCTGTGAGTTCACGGACAGCCTGGTCTACAGAGTGAGTTCTAGGACAGCTAGAGCTACAAAGAGAAACCCTGTCTCAAAAAACTTTCAAAAAAAAAAAAAAAAGGGAGGAAGGCTGGAGAAATGGCTCAGCGGTTAAGAGCATTGCCTGCTCTTCCAAAGGTCCTGAGTTCAATTCCTGACAACCACATGGTGGCTCACCACCATCTGTCATGAGGTCTAGTGCCCTCTTCTGGCCTGCAGACATACACACAGATAGAATGTTGTATCCATAATGAATAAATAAATAGAAAAAAAACTTAAAAAAATAAAATAAAATAACCTGTGTGTGGTTGTATTCATCTTTAGTCCAGCTAGAGTTATACAGTGAGTCACTGTCTCAAAAAATTACAATAAAATAAAAATATTAGACTTCCATGTGACACCCTGTGAGAAGTGTCTTGTTGAGGTTTGTGACAAGTTAACTAAAGCTAAGCAGTCCCTCCGGAGCATAGATAGCATGCTTGGAGTCTGAATATAATTAAAATGAAGTTCATGTCTGTGCAAACAACCTTTATTTATAAAGGAAACAGTTCCCACGTCATTACAAACATAAGCTACACGGGTGTGAAGGCACTTGGTTGGGGAGGTGGGGAGCTGACATCCTACTAAGGAGTCATGTGCCCCAAGGCTGCTGGGAGGAATGGGGAAGGGAAGACAGCAATGAAGGGATGGGGCACCCTGCCAGTGTCACCTGCGACAGTGCAGTGGCTTGCTGCTGGCAGTTAGGAGGTTCTTTGAACCAGATCTGATTTGGCAAGTGTGCATGTGGGGTCTCCTGCCCACAAAGATCCTCAGCCCTACCTCACCCCAATGCCTAAGGTGGCTTCCTAATCTTAAGTCTGGGGCTGCCCTTCCTCGAGCATCTGGAAGAACGAGAACTTCTGGTGCAGGCTGTACCCCTCTGGAGATTAGGGCGAAAGTAAACTCAGCAGTAGCTGGATTAGGAAGGTCCAGGTGGAAGGCAGGCTGGCTTGCACTTTTCTCCTTGACAATCGTCCTTCATTCCTGCTAGATTTTGCTCCTCTGAGACTTCACCCTAGGGAAGAGCTGAAAGGAAGGAGACCATCAGACACCAGGAGCCCAGTTCCGTTTATCCCACCCCCAAGAAGGGGGGCTGCCATCACACCACCAGCCACACCCCCGGCAAGGAGCAGGAAGACATGCGGGAACATGTATGTGGTTGTCATCCACTTTTCTGAGTGAAAGCGATCCCCTTTCCCCATATCATAGCACAGCCAATAATGGATTCTTCTAGACTCCATCACCATTGTGATAATGAACTGTGTGTATGTGTGTGTGCAGATGTAACAGAGAAACAGGAGAGAGAGAGAGAGAGAGAGAGAGAGAGAGAGAGAGAGAGAGAGAGAGAAGCCTGTTTGTAACTGAGGCTGACCTAAAACTTACTATGTAGCCCAGGCTGGCCTCGAATTCTTAGCAATTCCCCTGCCTCAGACTCCAAAGTACTGGGATAACAAGAAATGGTATCCTCTTGCCTGACTCTTTCTCTTTCCTGAGAGCAGCCTGGCCAAACCCATTAATAGGGGGCTCCCACTGGGTCCCCTCTGGGCTCACCCCAAAGTAGTTCCGTGGCACATAGCCCTCCTGGCCATGTAGCGAAGCCCACCACCAGTCGGTCTCCTCTGGCCCGTCCCTCCGCAGCACGGTGACTGACTCGCCCTCCCGGAAGGACAGCTCATCCCCAAACTCAGCACTGTAGTCCCAGAGTGCGTACACAACACCGTTGTGCATCAGTCCCATGCTTTGCTCGACGTCTGAAAATACATGAAGTCAGGCTAGGGTCAGCGACATAGCCACACAGGGGCTGGGGCCAGGGCATGACCCCTGTTGCAACAGAGAAAAGACACCTGGGAAGCTGCCTGCCTCTGCCTGTGGGTGGGGGTGAGAGGTTGGAATGGGCAGGGCGCCTTCTGACATTTGAGGACCCTTGGTGTGTCAAAATGGGCAGCCTGCCTTCACTCAGAGTCAGCAGCTAAGATTCGCTTATGTATGTCTTTTATGTAGATGGGGGCTTTGTCTGCATGTACATCTGCACACCAGAAGAGGACGTCGGATCCCACAGAACAGTAGTAGCATGGCCATGAGCCGTCAGGGAACTGCCAGTGAGGGGGACTGAACTCAATACTCTTAACTGCTAAGTGATCTCTCCAGCCCCCACCATCCTCTTTAAAGGTAGGCAGGGTCAAATGTGTCTCAGGCTGACCTTAAACTAGGTACATAGGCCAGGATGACCCTGAACTTCGGGTCTGTCTGGCTCCACCTCCCAAGCCGTAGTATCACAGGTGGGATCCACCACGCCCAGTTTATGCAGTACTGGGGACAGGACCCAAAGCCTCTGTCATGCTAGGCAAGCGCTCTACCGGCTGAGCTCCATCCACACACCACCACCCCCTTTAGAATCTATTTACTTTTTTATTTTATTTTGTGTGCACTGGTACATCTGTGTAGGAATGTCAGGTCTTGGAGTTACAGACAGTTGTCATTCATCCCACTCCAGCTGGTTTCCAACTACGATCCCCCAGCCTTAGGAATGGGTCTGCATGCCTGGCCCCTATCTCTACCTCATACAGTGTTAAATCCTTCTGCTCCATGATCCCTAATGTTAAGCTATGACACAATCTACCTCTCCAGATGTCCAAGAGAGACTACGGGCAAGCCTCTGGTGCGGTCTATCCTGGCTGTCGTCCAGTCTATCCTGGCTGTCCGGTCTATCCCGGCTGTCTGGTCTATCCCGGCTGTCCGGTCTATCCCGGCTGTCCGGTCTATCCCAGCTGTCCGGTCTATCCTGGCTGTCCACTCATGCAGTTTACTCTGGTCCCGGAGTGACCTGATGTGAGCTCGGGCACATCTACAAGTGTCCCAGCCTCTAAACAGCTTCCCAGAAGAGTTGTCAGGATGTTTGTTTTCATTCTTGAGACAGGGTCCTGCTCTGTAGCCCTGGCTAGCCTGAGCTTGCTATGTAGACCAGGCTAGCCTCCAACTCACAAAGATCTACCTGCCTCTGACTCCCTAGAGCTGGGAATACAAGTGGGTGCCACCACAGCACCAGGATGGCTGCTTGCCCCTCAGGTGAAATTTGCCCCTCAGGTGGAATGCAGGTGAGTTGTATGGACTGAATGATACATCTCCCAAGTTTTTAGCCATCCACGTGCATCTGCCAGGTGGGTAACCCAGCCCCTACCCTCTACCCCCACCTCAGGCGCAGCCTCGCACCTGCCAGGTAGGTGGCACAGTCTGCGTAGCCCTCTCGGTAAGGGTCGCACTTTTCGATGGCAGTGGCGCCGTCACTGAGAGTGGTGGCAAAGATGGCCGCACCGTGCTGTACCAGGGCGGTGCAGATGGCAGTGTCGTTGCATGAAGCCGCACAATGCAGCGGTGTCCTGGCGGCAGAGGAATGAATGAGAGCGAGGTCTCAGTTGGTAGCAACACCCTACTGCAAGTGTCCATGCCAAAATCCCTCCAACCTCCCAGCAGGGGCATGTTGAGGACTTACCAGCCATGGCTGTCAGGGGAGTTAACATTGGCGCCCGCGGCGATGAGGAAGTCCACAATGGGATAGTTGGCACCGCAGATGGCATTGTGCAGAGCGGTGATGCCCTCTTCATTGGGCTGGCTTGGGTCATTCATCTGGGAACAGGAAGAGAAGGACTCAGCCTCGCCTATCACCCTGTGCTCTCCTATACTGTCACATGGGGGAGGGGGGCATGACATCTTACCTCCTTCACCGCCTGCTGTACCACATCCAGCTCCCCGGTTAGTGCTGCGTCCAACAGCAGCACCAGTGGGTTGAGCCGCGCACGCCGGGCTTTGCGCGGGGACCCCACTTTGCGCAGCACTGAGCGCATTTCCTGCAGGACAAAGTGGGGCTTCAGTGAGGCCTGCCTAGCCACACCTCAGTGGGAGAAACAGACCCAGGGGACGGGTCACCCCAAGATCAGGAGTATCCACACCTAGGCAGGGAGGTGTGAAGGTACAAGGGCTGGCTATGCCCTTGTCCATTGGTCCTTTACAACTATCAGGTCCTCCTATGACTTTGGAATCCAGAATCCTGAGAGCTTAGAGCAAGTTAGGAAGGCATGGAGTAGGTGGTCTTCACAGCAATGATTCCTATAAGACAGCACGGTAGTGCATGTCCACAGTTTCAGTACTGGGTGGCTGAGGCAGGAGGACAGCTTAGAGCCAGGTGGTGGTGGTGCAAGCCTTTAATCCCTGCACTCAGGAGGTAGAGGCAGGCAGATCTCTGTCAGTTTGAGGCCAGCCTGGTCTACAAGAGGTAGTTCCAGGACAGGCTCCAAAGCTACAGAGAAACAAAAAACAAAAACAAACAAAAAAACAAATCACAAAAAAACCACAAAGAGAGTTCTGGGACAGTTAGGGCTATACAGAGAAACTCTGTCTTGAAAAAACAAAGAAGAAGAAGAAAAAAAAGAATATCTTCAAAGAAGCAAAAAACCCACAAAACCACTGTGATCATTAATTTTGATTGACAACTTAACGGGATTTAGAATTCACCGATTTAGAAAACTGGCTCTTACAGAGGACCCAGGTTCAAGTTCCAACACTGACATGCTGGCTCCCAACCACATATAACTCCAGTTTAATGGGACCTGAAATTCTCCCTCTTCTGGCCTCTGCACACACATGGTGCACAGACACAAATGCAGACAAAACATACATACACATGAAAATAAATAAATAAAGTCATGTCATGGGGGCACACGCCTTTAATCAAAGCACTCAGGAGGCAGATCTCTATGAGTTCAACACCAACCTGGTCTAACAGAGTAAGCTCCAGGATAGCCAGAGCTGTTCAACAGAGAAAACTTGTCTCGAAAAACCAAAAAGTAAATAGATAAAAATAAAAACGTAGAATCACCGTGAAAAAAAATCTCTCGGGCTGGAGAGATGGCTCAGAGGGTAAGAGCATTGCCTGCTCTTCCAAAGGTTCTGAGTTCAATTCCCAGCAACCACATGGTGGCTCACAACCATCTGTGATGGGGTCTGGTGCCCTTTTCTGGCCTGCAGGCATACACACAGACAGAATATTGTATACATGATAAATAAATAAATATTTTTTTAAAAAAGAAATTTCTGGCTAGATCTGCAAGGGAGTATCTAGATTGGGTTAATTCAAGTGGGCCCACCTGGATTGGTGCCACCATCCCACGGGCGGGGGTGACAGATCGAATGAAAAGGGGAGGAAGTTGAAACACCAGCATTTATCTGTCTGCTTCTTGATGGTGGAGCTGCCTCCTGTTCCTGCTGCTATACCTGCCCTGCCACGATGGACTGCACCCTCAAACTGAGCCAAAGATATCTTTCCTTGATTTGCTATTGCTAATAATATTGCAAATTGATTAGCAATTGTCATTGGTAATTGAATTGCCAATCAATAAAAGATGGGACAAATACATACAATGACAACAAACAAAATGGAGTAGCAAGAACAAATTCCTGGGTCACATCCCAGGCAGCAGTCACTCCTCACGGCAAACCGTTGGGGGGGGCACTGCTGTTCTCACCCCATTTCACAGACACAGAGAGGCTAAGTGTCTGGCCCTAGGACGTGCAGCCGAATAAATGGGGACAGGAGGAAAACTCTATAGTTAGTGCATATAAACATTGATGACCAAAGTCTTGGGGACCAGAGACTCTCTTCACAAGGAGACAGAACATGTGCCCAGAATAAGCAGGCACCATAGACTGGTCTCCAGGTCTCAGATAAACCTATTGTCACACCGAAAACTCAAATCAATTGCAAGTATAAAATTAAGATTCACGGGGCTGGAGAGATGGCTCAGCAGTTAAGAGCATTGCCTGCTCTTCCAAAGGTCCTGAGTTCAATTCCCAGCAACCACATGGTGGCTCACAACCATCTGTAATGAGGTCTGGTGCCCTCTTCTGGCCTTCAGGCATACACGCAGAAAGAATATTGTATACATAATAAATAAATACATAAATAAATATTTTAAAAAAATTAAGATTCACGAAGAAATGCTGGGCATAGGCAAGGCAAATGAAGCCAAGGTGTCAGCCAGGTCACCGCTCCATCCATCCAGTTTCTCCCTTTTTCCCTGCGCCCAGCCAGCCCTGTCTACACAAAAGACTACAATTCCCAGGTTCCTTTGCAGCACGGTGGGTGCCATCTTGGGTCATGAAGCCAGGGTCATCTCCTTGGATAGTGTTGTAACAGGGGCGACCGGTATTTGGGTGCAACACTAGGTCTCATTTAAACCACTATACGGTGAAGACTTTCCTTTACACAGCTGTATCAGAGGTGAACACATACTGTCGTCTCCTCCTGTGACTTACCACGCTCTGAGGCTGCTCTGGAAGACTGCTCTGGGGTGGTGCTGGGGGTGGGACGGGAGCTGGTGGGGCAGGAGCAGGGGGCCCTGCCCTGGCTTCGGATCCCTCTGTGATCGTGCCCAGCTCCGGCTCGGGCCCGCCAGGCCCTGGGCCACCGTGCCGATGAAAGAGTCTATTGATGATCAGTTGGTACTGTTTCTTGTGGGTGGGGGGCAGGGCTACGGCAGGGCTCTGCTCCATGGAGCCTCTGCGTTTCAGGGGCCGAGGAATCTCTGCCAGAACTCGGGCCACCTCCTCCAGCTCAGGCACCGTCTGTGCTTCGGGTGGCAACGCTGGCTGCAGCCTGGTAGGGCTGAGGGGCCGAGTGACGGTGCCTTCATCTGTGTCCCCGGCCTCCAGCACAGGAGCCAGTAGCCCCTCTAGCTCCGGCTCTGGCTCCAGCTCGGCAGGGGACTTGAGAAGGCCTAGTGAGAACAAGGAAGAGTAACTAGGAGTCTCCCAGGATCTACAACTTCCAAGGTGTAACCAGCCCCTGTGCTGTGACCTCAGGGCAGTTACTTGACCTCTCTAGACTACACTTTGCCTGGGCTGTACATGATATATAATGTTATGTAGCTTTTATTTACTGAGCATCTATATGCCAGATACATCTTATTACGGTGCTGAGCAGTGAACCCAGGCCACATGATAAACATTCCACCCACAGAGCTACATCCCCAGCCCTACATCTCCATCACCTTTCTCCGTCATGGAGAAGATCAGTGACCATCTGCATTTTACAAAAAGAAATCTGGGACTCAGAGAGGGACAGTCACTTGCCCAAAGTCCCATAGCTAGTTGCCTCTGGAACCTGCATTCCTACCATCAACAATAAACTCGGTTTTCTAGGTTCCTAAGAATTTCACTCCCTAACATCTCATGCAGAAAAATTCCAGAATAGAAACCTGGTGTTCAAGGGCCTCTTTTTTACTGGCCTTTATCCACCATCCGAATGTCTGGCACAATCCTACAAAGTAAACATTGTTACACTCTTTTCACAAGTGGGAAAAACAGGCTCAGAGAGGTAGAGCGATTTATCCTGAGTCACACAGCAAGTCATCAGTTCGGAGAGGCTGAATCTCAACCCCTCTGGTACTGAAGGATGTTGCCAGTCAGGAGACAGTGGGCAAAGTGCACTTTCTATGCATTGCCTTATTTTCAAGACCTGATACGGTTTTAGTGTCATGTCCCAAAAAACAGGATTGTACTGGGATTCAGCATTTATACTCAGGGAACGCAGGGCTCTGAGAGGCTAAAGCACAAGTCCTAAGCCTCCCAAGGCTCTGCTCAACCCCTCTGTAACCCTGGCCTTGTGTACATTCCCATGGTGATCTGGCCCGGCTCTCTGCGGGCTCAGTGTCTGGACTCAGATTTAGCCGCAGCTGCCCAGCTGCTCTGGTCCCCAGCGTTTGTGCTGGAACCCTCTCGGCCGACTCACCTTCGTTCACGGGAGGCCAAGTCTGTTGAGGCGCTGGAGTCTGAGGCTGGGCCTGGGCCTGGGGCTGGGGGGGCATCTGAGGTTGGGCCTGGGTGGGTGGCTGTGGGGGTGGCTGGGGAGGCAGCTTAGGTGGGGGAGCTCGGGAGAAGATGGGGGATCCCGGGAGCACAGCCCTGCTGGCTCCATGTTCCCAGAAAGCATTCTGGAGCTTAAAGATCATGCTGAGGGGTATGGGGCGCTGGCGCAGGGTGTTGCGGGGCTGGGGGCTGGAGGGGGGCATGGGGATGCGGCTGACGGGCTGCCAGCTGCGGGGCAAAGTGCCTGAGGGTCCTGCTGAGCCCATAGAGCGGCGGTAACTGCCGATGTCAGAACGCCTGTCGGTGGCCAGAGGGGACACCTTGTAATTGCGTGGCAATGTTGCACTGGTGAGGTTGTCCTGGGGCAGGGGAGAGAAAGGGAAGATGAGGGAAGGTGAGAGAAAGGAACTTAGACAGGTAAGGACAAGGGGGTGAAGGGAAGGACAGAACCTGTGCATGATAGTCCACACCAGTAATCCCAGCAGGAGAGGTTGAAGCAGGAGGGCTGCCCCAGTGAGGGGCTGGGGCATGGCTCAGTGGTAGAGCCCCTGCCTAGAAACTCCTAGTGAGGGGCTGGGGGTGTGGCTCAGTGCTATACACTCACCTAGAATGAACTAGGTCCTAGATTCAATCCTCAGACTCCCACCATAAAGAGCGTGAGGAAAGGCACACACACACACACACACACACACACACACACACACACACACACAC